TGGGCGCACTTGATCGCGTACTCCACCTGGTAGAGCTTGCCCGCGGGCGAGAAGATGGTGATGTGGTGGTCTGCGGGGGCGGCGCGCGCGGGGGCGCGGGCGGTGATGACGACTCGCGCGCGGGGGCGCGGGCGGAAATGACGCACCGAACCCGCTATCCCGGCTCATCTTTGCGAGCGCGGCCGCCGACGAGGCTCAGAGGCGAGTTGCCCGCGAGGAAGAGGGCCCTAGCAGCTCAGCAGCACACTCTTGAGGCAAAAGCTTATGGTTCTGCGCGTATCGAGTGTGCGCGCGCGACGCGTGGCGCACGCCGACGGCCGGAGACGATTGCAGCAGCATCGCTACGACGTGCGCGACGCGCGACGCGATTGGGGCGACCCCGTTCGACCAGGGGGCGGCGCGCGACGACTTGCAGGACGGCGACGCCATGAAGAGCACGCCGTCGAGCGCTGGCGCCGCGACCGCCGCGCGGCACCGCTTCGACACCTTCTCCAGCGTCCGCGGGACCGAGATGCCCCCCGCTCGGGGACACGGGGCGCCCCCGCGAGCGCCACTTCATTTTTTGGCAAAGAAACGAATGCTCGCACCCACATGACCTGGAAACGAATGCTCGCACCGAGAGAGGTCCCGCGCGCGCTGCGATCCAGGCGCGCAGGCCGCGCCGGCTCGAGCCATCGTGCTCGCCGGTGCGCCGGTTCGCGCACCTTGGCCTCTGGTCGAGTGCTGCGCATGCGCGCACTGCATGGCGATGCAGTGCGCATGCGCGCGGTCAGCGGACGCGCAAGCGATGCCTCGCCTGGCTCAACGGTACACGCCCCGAGGAGGCTCTCCTCTGCGTTTTCCCTCGTGAGAGGTCTTTTCCGCGCGGTTTCTCGAAAAAGAGTTTCCGCAAATCTACGCGCGTCGTCACTCCACGACGCGCAAGCTCACGTCGCCTGCCCTGAGGTTGGCCTTCGGGTCTGGGCAGAGTGCGCGACGTCCCGAGAGGCTCCGGGCGTTGGGCTCCCCGCCGGACTGGGGTCAGCAGCCCCGCCTGCTGCCCTGGCCGCGAAACCCCGTTCGGTCGACCGAGCGGGGGGACGCGGCAGGTCCGGAGGCTTACCCGGCGTCAGACGGCCACGAGGCAGCGAGAGCGCTGGACCAGCGCGCTCTTTGGGGTTCCTCACCCCGGACGCGACGCGCCTAGGCGCTCCTCCCAGCGAGAGTCCGGTTCCCCCGTGGGTCTCGGCTAGGCCCGGGCTAGCAGTAAGCGACTCCAGGCCAGGCCCTAGGGAGCCGTAAGTCATCCGAGTCTACCTCCATTCTCCGGCTGGGCCCGTCCGACGAAGCTCGCTGTAGGTAACATAAGGGCACTACTAGAGATACAAGCCGTCTGCACTGCCAACTTCACACTAAAGTTTCAGACTGGGCCGGTTATCTTACTAGTAGCCAATTATCCCGCCACAATGATGGGATTCCCGCGCCGCGCCCAGTGAACTTAAGCCCAATCATCACCGTCAAGCCGTGCAAACAATACGAGTAAGGCTCCGATTGGTGGTTCTTAGTATCGTCCCCCTGGCTACGAGAGCCAGGTTCGGCTTCTCGAATTGCTCGAGCTCCTGAACACGAGCGAGGCGGAGCGAGCCCCGGGTCGTGCTCGCTGCCAAGCTGCCACAAGACTTGTGCACAACAACCATTGACAACAACACACGCGCTCTCTGCGCGGCGCGTCGCTGGGCCGCAGCGCGATGAAGATCATCATCAGCTTCCAGGACGTGCGGCTATCGATGACGCTGCCAAAGAAGTGGAAAAGGGGCCCGGTGTCGGCGATCCTGGAGAGCTATCTGCAGTCGCCGACGGCGAAGCGCCTCGGCCTCGACGCGTCGAGCGACGTCGCCCTGGAGCGCGGCGACGGGTCGCGGCTCGGCGGGACGGCCATCGTCGGCGAGTCCGTGCGCGACGGCGACGTGCTGCGCGTCCGCGCGGCGGGCGAGCCGCGGCCGGGCGCGGGCGGCGCGTGCGGCGCGCGCGTCGCGAGCCGCCACGCGTGGGCGAAGCAGCGCGCGCCGGCGCGGCGAGCGCTCGCGTGATCGCGCGCGGGGCCGAGCGCGCGCGCGTCGAGCGCTCC